AACTTGCTTCAGAGTAAGGCTCTGCCTTTTTGCTCCCCAACCTGCCCCAGTTCTCCTCCTCCTCCTCCTCTTCACCACATGAAATGGCCGTCTGTGCCAGCCTAGCGCTGAGCCTTCATTAGCTTTTACTACCCCACTTGGACGTGTTTAGCTTTGCTCTCTTTCTTTGCCTCTGACACTGTGTGTGTGTGTGTGTGTGTGTCTCACACTCCGTATGTGTCTGTGTCTGCATATGTTTAATTACCAACCCCGGCCCTCCCTTTGGAGAACCCCTCAATGCCACCATATCATTACACTGTGGCTGCAATTTAAACTTCAGTCACACACACACACACACCGACATACATACCTCGTTCGGGCTGCAAATTGTGAAGGGGGGACAGTGGGGTACTGTAGAGAACTGCTTTAGCTCCTTTATTCTCCCCTGAAATGACGTTCTGAAATGGAAACACGTACAAAGGGAGCGACGGGGAGAGAGAACATGAAAAACACCACGAAAAGAAAAAAGCACCACAGCACCACGAATCACCACGTATCCACAACTACGTCTGGTGTTCAAACTGTTATTGTTTGAACTAAACAAACCACTTATAAACACAAGGCCTCGGCCTTACGAGTCTCATATTTAGGCCCTTCTGTAAACAGCTAAGCACAGAATGAATCAATTAAAAGGGCATTACGCTGGTTCCTGTTTATTTAAAACGTGTTTACACTATATGGGCCCTCCCGCCCGTCTCCATGATTGCCTGGAACTTTGTATTTCTCCTCCTCCTCCTCCTCCTGTCACCCCTCAATAGGCCTGGTCACGGCCAAGGTATAGCAAACATATACACACACACACACACACACTTGGGCATAGATTACAAACACATTTGTTATGTTGAAGAGGGTTTGCAATAAATATTGATCTCGTTTTTTCCTGTTTCTGCGAGAGATGATGAGAAGAAGCAATCTGGTGCAGAAACACACATAAATACAGGCAGCAGCAGAGAAACTCAACTCTCAAAGGTGGTTTTCTTTTTAGAGAACTGGCCAGTGGAGCATTCTGATCCTATATTGTAAGTAAAAGCAGTAATATCGCAGGATAGAAATACGCCGCTGCAAGTAAAAGACCTGCATTCGAAATGTTACTTAAGTAATTTATGTTGGATTATAATTGTTGATGCATTCTTATGTAGATAGACAGTTCCCCACTATAGGAATAACTACTGCTTGGTAACGTCCACCAAGGGATCAATGAAGTCTTATGGTTTTCTATAATAATACAAGTTGATTATGTTTCGTATTCTTGAGAAGAATCTGAAAACTAATGCAGCATGTAGGCGACCTGGACTGTGATGAAGTCCACACAGAAAGTTGGTGTTGAGCCCTGCAGTGCTGAGCACCGCACCACCACGCTGCTTGCAGGATTAAAGCAGATTTCTATAAACCTTTGGGCAGTCGGGCTAGCTGTTTCCCCCTGTTATCAGTGTTTATGCTAAGCTAAGCTAACCACCTTCAATTTCAGGAAGTGATCCCATTCTCTTTAAATTGGGAGGGAAAATCTAAATGATATCAATCCCAGAAAAGAGTTTGAGTTTCAAACCGCGGACCGACTTGTGGATCGTTGTGGCCGTTAATCTCCAAAACCTTCAAGAACTCTTCAGCGGACATAATGCGGTTCATGAGCAGTGTTGCTTATTAAAAACACCAAAAAAAGGTTATTGTATTGAAATAAAGCATTGGCCTGTATGTGGAGAGAAACAATCTCCATTGCCTGGCTTTGCTTGGTATGTCACCCCGAAGTCTGCTTTCTCACTGGCTTCACAGCTAATTCCCCCTTTCTTCTGTGCTGCGCTTAGTGCAAAAGTACAAACACACACAGACACGCATGCCGGTGCATGTTTTTGCACACACGCACACACTCACACACACTTTTCTTAACTAATCAGTGCTATTGAATTCCAGCAACAATGGGCGCTCATCCTCGGGCCACCCAGGCAGTGCACACACTCACACACACACATGTGCATACACACTAACACCAGCGTCACCAGATCACGAGTTCAGTCTTTTGTTCCTTCATTGTGTTTCTTTCCTTCCATTGATCTCACCTTCACACACAGGTCAGGAGTTGGCACTGTGAGATTGTGTTAACCGGACTATCATCTGTTATCTGAGCCCACACACCGCACTCACACACAGAAAGGAGGCTGGGGGGCCGCAGGGGGGGGGGGGGGGGGGGGGCTCCATGAACCACAGTTACATCCACTGCTCTCGCATTACTGAGCAGCATCACACATGTAGGAGATTCGGTATTGCTGCCTGTGAATCTGTGACGTGTGCTATAATTCCCTAAACATTAACTCCTCCATTTCATTATTTGAAAAATATGACTACAAAAACTGAATCCCGCCAATTTGATGTGATTCAAAACTGATTCGCATACAAAATTATTTGTCTTCAGGCACCACACAACACCACATTTATGAAAAAACATTTCATTGATTGTTGAATAAATGTGTAATATAACTAATAATCTCTCTCTGAACAAAGGTCAGAGGTCGGAGTGAGAGTTGGTAAGGCTGAAATATGGCCTCTCTGTAATCCTTACACTGTACTTTTTTCCCATGCCTATAAAAAATAAAACAAATACAAATAAAACAAGTTTGTATCCTTGTGTGTGTGTGTGTGTGTGTGTGTGTGTGTGTGTGTGTGTGTGCATGTGTGTGTGTGTGTGTGTGTGTGTTTGTGAGTGTTACATCTATCAGAACCAGTCTGAGTCATAACATTTGTTTGTGATTATTTCACATCATCAATTATCATTAATTTATTTTTCGGGCATTTTGAAGAAAATTAGTGGGTGCTTTTCAACTTTTATGTCTGGCCTCAGTGTACTCTTCAATTTAAATGTTTGAGGATTACAACCACATAAAACAAAATGAGTATTGGATCATGCAGATATGGTAGAGTGGTTTTCTGATTAGCAAGACACACCAAACAAAGGCTGACGTTCTGGGGTGAAAATGGGCTTTTTAAAAAAAATCTTTGTTCTCGTGGGTTTCCTGAATGAAAATCACTCTGATCCGAAATTCATGCTGGGATTGTCTCCAGCCCTCCTCTGACCCATAACTGGACAGCAGGTTTTCATTTTCTTGTCACTGAGCTGTGACATTGAATACAACATGTGCTCGCTGGATGACATCACTTAGGGGCCTTATTTGTTCTCATTAACCTACAACTTTGAAATCAAAACATCTGGCCAGTGTTGTGTACTGCTTGGACTTGAATGGGAGATTAAATACAAAATAAATGGGATTTTAAGTGTAGATTGCGTGGAACTACTAAGCCATATTGTACTGTGAGCCTGTGTGTGTGTGTGTGTCTGTGCATTGGAGCGAGGGATGTTTTAAAGGTGGACGTGCATGACAGTAACTTCAAAAGACGGACGTATCAGATTCAGACGCGGTTCGCTCTGCTTGGGCTGACAACCGAGGAGCTGTTGTGAGAGAAGCGAAGGAATTTACAGCATCTACCTTTCATCTCCACAGGTGGCCTGCGTGTGCATGTGTGCATGTGTGCATGTGTGCGTTTGTGTGTGAGGAGGCAAGCGGTTGTATATATGTGTGTGTACGCGTATGACTATGTGTTTGTTTTCAGTTTGAGTTTTGGAGAATGCGTCGTGCACATGAGCAAAGTAGTGTTATTTGTGAGTGGGGAGGCAAGTGGGTAAATGTGTGTTTGTGTGTGTGTGTGTGTGTGTGTGTGTGTGTGTGTCTGCATTCACAATGGCGGCGATTTAGACAGACGAGTCACAACAATGATCCAGGAAGCCAGTGATGCCAGACACTTACCAGGTGGTTCAGCGCTCCAGTTCAGTGGTTAATTCATTGGTCATGAAATAAAGACGTTTGAAACTCTGTGATAAGATAACACATTACCTAATCTAGTAGTTCAATGAGAAATCTCATCATAGTAGCAGGAATGTGATAGTAAAGTCTCTGAAATAACACCTTTTGAGGGGTTATTTCTTAACCCGGGGTCGTGGGTCTTTGGGTGCATTGATTGGGTTGTGTTCCATCTAAATCATAATCACACGTTTTTGGTAGTACTCATAAAACAAGGGTTTTATATCGCACATAAATCATGATCATATCATGATAGATCTTGTAGGGCAGTACAACAAGAGTTGAACCAATTGTGTGTCAAATGGTCTCCTGACTGAATTTAACATAAAATAATATCCTCCTAAACATAAACCGTTTACAATGTTCAATGAGCTGATAAATCAATTGAAAGGAAAGGTCGTTCTCTCATCGACTTTTTTACAATCAGACATCTTTGAGATACAAAGATGCTTTATTCATCAGGTACACAACGTTTGTGAAGTGAGTTATCAACCCTTCAAAAACATTTGATGGAACTCATTCAGTGTGTTTATTTTGATTTATCACCAATAGGAGTAATGCTTGTAAATTGGTTGTCCAATGTCTTATTGTTCTTCACATTTCTATGCTCTTTGACAGTTATAAACTCACTTGGATGGTTTGTCCATCAATAAACAGGCAGATTTTATAGTTTAACATCAGATTCAAGCTTAAAACGAAATTCTGATTAAATATGTGGATACTGAGGCTTTAATCATTTACAGACTGAAATCCAAACTTTTGTTTCACACTCCAACAATGCACCTTGATAATAGAGTAGGCCTATTTAACCAGCAAACAGTGTGAGTTTGCTGGTTTGCTTGTGTACATGTGTGATAAGGACGGGGGGGGGTCACAGATAAACCAAACCACAAAGCCACACTGCAAAAGATTGGCAAGGACCACAGAAGCACTTGTTTTCATTCCATTTATTTTGTTAGTTCAATTTCTATAGCAGGTGAGGGAACATATCGGTCACACGAGGGTTTTCTTGAGCATAGTTTTCAGAAGTCACAGTGTTTTAGACGTGGACAGAACATTAAAAAAATATGAAGAAGGAAAGGACAAGAAGGAAACCCCCCCCCCCCCAAAAAAGGTGTTAGGCAGACACAATCCTAGACACCTTCTCCTTCGTGGGCCTCCAACTGCCCCCTTTTACTCCACCAAAAAAAAAAGAAGAAAACTTTAAAAAAAGGCCTCTGCTCTAAAGTGTTGTCAACCCCGTCCCTCCATCCCAACATGCGAACAAAATAAAACATCAAAACAAAACAAACTCGGCAACAAATAGATATATTTATATATAATATATATATTCACTCTTTAAAAATAGAACTTCAGTCTAGATACTAAACATCTGTACAAACTACAAAAATAAATTTTAATATAAATAATTTATATGGCATGACATTAACAATTTTTTCTTTTGAAATAAACTACAAACCAATGTAGGAGCTCCCCCCCCCCGCCTCCCCCTTCCTCCCTTTTAACTCCTCGCCACGGTCTGACAACAGCCGCTGGCGGTCGGTCTACGGTCTGATCGAACTGTAACTGGTGCTTTGCTCACTGCTTAATTATTCACAACTGCACAGTGGCTACTTTTCTTTCATATGCACAAAAGAAACCAAAGCTGCCACTTCAACAACAAAAAAAAGAAATCCCTGCAATTTAACCTGGCAGTGATGAGACCAATACCGAACAACGACAACATCAACGAAAAAGACAACATGAAAATCCTAAGAACGAAAAAGAATGTATTGTGCCATATATGAGGTTTGTATTAGCAGGAGGAGTGAGAAATTAGAAAGTGAGTGAGAGCAGGCTGGAGCACTAGAGAGGTCGAGCCAGTTTACATAAAGTAATAATTGCACAGGCTTGTGACGCCATGAACGTGTCGCAAACCCAAAGCAGCCAGCAAAGGAAAATGGAGAAATTAATAATAATAATTATAACATAAAATCACTCCCTTTGCATTGGATTTAATAATTCCCTTTTAACATAACATAAGAAGGTGAACAATTGTCAAAAACAAAGTGACCAATGTGAGCTTCACCCACTTTAGAGCTTACAAAAACTGCGAGAAAAAAATCAATCTTATCACAGCTCCTTCAAGTAGTTGATAACTGCAGAGGAAGAAGGATTAAACGTGAAATATGAATTAGGTGTGAGCCTTTTAGCTCGCTGGCTAACTGATCGCAACCACATTCGGATAGATGCTACTGCTTCTTGACTAGCATTGTGTGTCTGGACGAGACGAAACATATTTACACCAAAGCGAGGACATAATACTGAGTGCTGATTCCTGTGATAACAAGGAAAAGGGGACGAATTGAAGGCACAACGGTTACGACTGTCTGCTGCGGAGAACAGTGCACACTGTGACAGAGAGCGTCTATAATCAGTTCAACAGAGTGTGTGTCAGACACAGAATCTCTCACAGTTTAATACTGTGTAAAAAAAGAACAAAAAAAAACTCATTTAAACCAGGGGGGGAAGAGGAGGAAACTGCATCTTTTTAAGGCAAATCACTTAACATAGTTTTGAAATGTAGCAGCAAAAAAAAGAAGTTCAGAACAATACAAATACAACACTGACCACGTGTTCAATATGTTGTTTTCAATAGCCTAATATCTTAATAACATCTCACTTTTTGTGGACACTTTTTACATATAGCGCAGTTCTTATTCTATACATTGTGGGGAAAAAAAAAATTAACCACCCCACAAAAAATAATCTTTTACATTTGAAGAGAATACCCAAGTTATACAGTACTCTTTTAAATAGCTTCCTTCTTTTTTAGTATTAAAATATATACTCATAGATTTATATAATTCTGAAAACGTCCTTTTTCTTCTTTAATATGTCCTTGAAATAAATCCTCTCCTTTTTGTGTGAAGTCTGTGTACAGTTGAGAGCTCCGTGTGAGCCGTCGAGGTGCTTCGGAGAAGAGAGAAGACGAGGCGCGTGAGAGAGTCTAGCAATCTTTGGCTGCTTGGATCCTCAAGCCACCTACGGCAGAGACAGATAGAGAACACAGCACGGTCAAATTAAGCTAAAAAGGCCATAAAAAGATGAATGCACTGCATGTATTTAATGATTCTTTGGTGTAATGTCAGCCCTCGATACACATATTCAGAAGATTCACAGTGCGGTGGACCTGAGATTGGCTGGCAACAAACTCACCTTGTGTTGTTTTGCTGTGCTGATGCTCTGAATGGTTCTGCGTGGCTTCCAAGTCCTGGAGCTCTAAAGAGTCTCTCTTACATGAAGAAAAGTTTGTTTTGCCACCACGAGTCCTCCCGGCGGCCTCGAAACAGTCCGACTCGCTGTCCGTGTCAAAACCTTCATGCATGTAGCCTTGGTACGCCGCCCCCGGCAAGGTCGGGTGCACGGCCACCGTCACGGAGGCTGTGGCAGTCACCATGGTAACAGGTCCCCCCACGGAGCCTTGTTGCATGGGCATTGCAGAGCTGCGGCTGCTATAGCTCGGCCCTGTAGTCCTGTTTGGCTGAGGCCCTCTGCCGCCCTGCAGCCTGGGGCCGCCGTGACAAGTCCTCCCCGGGACCTGAGGTCTCTCGCTGGGTAAGTGTTGGGCCTGGAGCCTCTGGAGGCCCGGCTGCTGCTCCCTCTTTTGTCCATCCCAGCATGTAACCTGGGAGCCCAGAGGTGACGTTGCGTTGTGGGAAGATTCATTTAACGGTTCAATCCTTCCGCCAGCGCCGGTCGAGTTTTCTTTGAATGGCCTCACCACCTGCAACAAGTAAAGTTTCACCATTTAGTTCCAGAAAATAAAGAGGACAGGCATTTGAACAAACGGGTGGGTTTCCCTTCTCGCCGGTGTGGTCGCGCGGCGTACCGTGAGCTTGGGGAAACTGGGGTTTTTGCTGGCTTCCAGCAGTATGTGAGACGTGGAGGGGGGGACGCTGGCGTGCGACGGCAGGTCACAGTACTTGTAGTCCTCCTCCCCGATGCCCGACGTGGTGGTCACCTCAGAGTAATACTCCGAGTCAGACGACTCCGGAAAAGCTTGTTGACGGGACGGCCGCGGGTTGTGGTGGCCGGCGTAGTAGCCATGGTGGGTCATCGGTGGGGGCAGCTGGGGTTCGGGGGAAGGCGTCGGGAGGCGACTGGCATTGTCAACTGCAGTGACCTCAGACGGAGGGCCCATCATGGACAGGAGCACCGGCAGGAGAACCAGCCCATTCAGCATCCCCAATACAGTGAGGATGGCTAACACGGCAAAGAAATACCTGAAGGATGGAGAGAGAGAGAGAGAGAGAGAGACTTTAGTTTCAACATAAACCTAAAGATGACACATTTAGTGCAACAAAGAACCCGCGTCCAATTAAAAATAGCTGACGACATCTTGTAATCGGTCGTTTCTGGTGGGAAACAAGAACTAATTGTTACTTGAGTTGGATTTGAGTTGAGGGAAGGATATTCCGAAGCACCTCTGTGTTTACTCTGAACAGGTCTACCTCGGCGTTTTCGTCTGGCCTATTGCCTCGACTCACACCCTCGCACACACGCACACACAGACACACACACAGTCACACAGAGCAATCCTTTTAATTCTATTTTCTTTTAGCAAGTTAAGGTTTTGAGGGGCTTTCGGCTTAAGTTCTGCAGGATTTAGAGCGGCTGCCAAACTAATGACACTTTTAAAAACGAAGCTGATAGCGTTTCACAGTTGTCTTTTTCAAATGCAATATTTCTTTTAATTTAGACAAAGAGAATCCACGAGATCCCGGTGGGCCGATGTGTTGCATTGGCAAGAGCCCACTAGAACACAAGGATGTGCACAACTCCAAACACACACACACACACACACACACACACACGGGTTGGCACTTGAGGAAGCGAAACAGCTCAGGGGAAGAAGTCAGGGAAAGCCCAGTGTTTGTGTATCAAAGGCAGGGAGGGCAAAATCTGATTCCCCGCTCAGTCCAACTAAAACATGCTTTGATGCCTCCACTGCTGCTGCTACAAGACTTTCTCTCGCTTTCTTTTCCCCTCACATAGCGTGTCTGTGTTTTTGTTTTATTTCGTGTGTGTGTGTGTGTGTGCGTTTCATTGGGGCTCCGAGGGGGTGGAGGCGGGCCACAAGAAAGGGCTTCCCAAGGAAAATTAGAGAGGACCACTTAAACACTAACAGAAAGCAGAAAGAGGGAGACAGCGAGATGCTAACCGCCAGCCAGACTTTATGAGAGGTAAAAAAAAAATAAAAAAAAAGATTGTTGGAACGAAGGGGGAAGGAAAGCTGACAGGGACGTGGATAATAGCTGCGTGGTGCTCTGGAAACAGGCCTCTCTCCTCTGAATGGATTACCACGATGATTACGACTACTTTACTTGACAAAGGTCACTCTCCAGGAAAGGGTTCACGGTTTGCACGTCGGGTGCGATTTCACAAGCCCTTGGAAGCCATTTGTGCCCCCCGCCCCCCCCCCCTACTCTCTCTGACATATTTTCTCCTTTAAGCTGTGTCCTTGTTTTCATCCTTTATCAGAAGCATAACGCATGTCATCCTAACCACTCTTGACAAAACACTTCAGGGAGATATTTTCAATTTCTCGTCTCCTCAATCCACGACGGCCTTTCAACCACATGCGGATATTTAATCTGCATCGAAAAAAATGCACAGACGCTGAAATTGCAAAATAGGTTTGCAGCTTAGTTTCTTGTTTGTAGTATAAAAAACAAGAGAAGAGTGGGACAGAAAGAAAGAATGAGAGTGAGACGTCGGCGGGACCTCCAACAGTGTCTCTCTGTTAGGAATTCTGTTGTTTATATAAACTGTAATCTTTTCCATTCGTTGTCAGGGCCTGAGGAGCTGTGTGTGTGTTGTGTGTGTGAGAAACAGAGCGTAAGTGTTTACATGCCTGTACATATGTGCATTTCTCCTTGCGTGTGTGTGTGTGTGTGCGCGCACTCACATGTGCCGCGTATGTGTGTGCAGGAGGGGGAGGAATTAGGCCCGCTGTTTATTCAGTGCATTACAAGGCCAGGAGATGTTTACAGCAGTATATTTATGCTGCTCCCCAGCTAGGCAGGTCTGGCTCGCCCCGTTCACCCCGCCACAGCTACGGCTAAACAAGACCTCCAACAGAGACGCTGGACCCTTCTGTCACAGAACCGTGGGAGGAGAGAAGAAAAGCAAGATGCTGAAAGCGTTCTTCTTCTTCCCAGTCCAACAGGCGTGTTTACTCTCAATTCCTCCCCATTTGCACCTCATTGTCGTTCCAATCCGGCGCTGTGGTGGAATCTGTTCATCTAGCCACTAACCAGGAGCTCATATCCCTGCAAGAAAAGTCACCCACCCAAGTACTTTTCCTCCCCTCTCTGCTTCTGTCTCGGTTTCCGCAGAAAAGCCGCGCTTTTTTTATGTCACGGAGGCCTGTTGCAGTCTGTGAGCTCAAGGTTGCGGTTTCAGGGTTTGAGCCTAGACCGCATTCGGCTGAAAAACATCGAGCTATTTGCCTTTTTTTCCACTCTGACCATGAAACAGTGGTAGGACGCACACGCAGAAGGGAGGGGTGTTTGTTGGTGGGCTTCAGCCCATCTGACTGGCTGACTCGTTCAAATTTAGCTCCACTTTTTATGACGGCACCCGACGTGGAGGAACCAAATGCCAAACGGATGATAGGAATTTTTACAGATTCCCTCTTGTGTGTGTGTGTGTGTGTAAAGGAGACGCATAGAGAGAGAGAGATCACCCAGTGGGTAGCAGAACACTTCCATGTTTACGAGCAGCTGCTACACACCCTTGATGTTTTCCCCATTTTTGTGCTCTGAGGTCGGGGAGACGGGTGTGTGTGTGTGTCAGGAGTGACAGAACCAGGTGCGTATTTGTCACTGTGTGTCTGTGTGTTCATAAATAGGGGTGTAACATTTCCACCTGCATTCACCGCTGACCCCCCACAGGGCTTCCTCCCGTCCCAAAGTGGGGATGGACAACTGGCTCCACACACACACACACACACACACACACACACAAACACACACACGCGCACACTAATGGCGTTGAAGCAATGCACTGCTACTTCTGAAGGTGACAAATGGGCAAGAGAAGAACAGAGAACACACACACACACAGATGCAGAGACACACTCACCTCATGATGAAGTCGAACTCGGACCCTGCCAGCATGACAACGCCCAGCAGTGTGGAGATCGCTCCGTCGACCACCGGGGCAAACATGTGCTCCAGAGCCACCGCCGAGCGCTTGTTTCTGTTGCCAATCGCAGTCAAGAAACCCTGCGGCGGAGGGGGAGAAGATATAAGTTGGAAATCCTGCTGATCACACAAAACTGGTGTCGGAGGCAAGGCTTGGCATTCCTGCTATTATCCTGTCTTGGGGGGCGGGGGGGGATCACTAGGCAGAGGAAAGCTGCCAGCATCGACCCGGAAGCCAAGAGTTTCCCTATAAATCTTTAATCACACTTATTTGACCTTTTCACAGACAGGGGTCTGTGTTTTGCACTTTAAAACAACCGAGATATTCACGATGCCACTTTTTGCTGTGCTAACATGTCAAAACGAATCTTTGCAGTGAGTTAAACGTATTAATAATGCAAATGACGCAAAACAAAACATTCCTCTCAGATAGGCAAATGGCCAAACCAGAGCGTCGGGTTTCAAGTAAGTGTTTCATTTAATCTCCGCGTGTGCGCTCGCTCGCTCGCTCCGCGACCTACCAGTGCGATGTGAACGGTGAACTCCACTCCGATCCCCACGGAGGCGATCAGAATGACCACAGGGATGGCGCTCAGCTTGATGCCGATCAGACCCATGATGCCAAACAGCTCCACCGTCATCATGGCCAAGATGAACACCTGTCGGGAAGAGAAAGCGTCATGAACCGAGTCGCTTTTAAACTACCAGTGCTGGAAAAAACGCCCAGGAAACCAAAAGTAGATGAAAAGCATGTAAGCGATAAAAAATAAACGTGCCTTCCCCCAGTGACTTGAGCTCAGCCCTTTTGCCTCTTCACCCCACACAATCTTTGACCTTTGGCTAGGGGTCTCAACCACATGGCATCAAATTACCCACCCCGAGGCTAATACCACCCCCGCCCCCCCCTTCTCCTTCTCAGAGGTGGCTGAAATGATTGACAGCGCCTGAGACAACAGAGTTTAGGCACTTTGTCGCTGCCAGGACGCCATCTACATCTGTCTGTGTTTGTGGAAAACAAATGCTCTTGTTCCTCAACAGACAGCAGCCTGTTTGCTTATTTAATCATTTACGATATTTTCACGCTGCAGTTTAATGCGGTGCTTCAGTTTGCCTAATGGCAAACATGCAACGTGAGCGTAAAGCGTGACGTGAACAACAACAAGCCTCAGACGACCAGGAGGAGAAATCGGTTCCGAGCCAACGGAAGCTTTTGATCCCAGCAGGGCCTCGGAGCTGCAGCACGGTTAAATTGCAAATGATAAAAGAGGTTTTACTACCTCGACCACATACGGGCCGGGTGATGCTTGGAAACAGAACATGCGTGTAGCTGCGCCCCTTCTCTCTGTGTGAGGACACCGTGCAACACAGCCGCCTCAATCAGCGCTGCTAGGCATCGCTACTTAAATTAAACACATTCCACTTGAAACTGGCCCTGTTGTTGTGCTACACTTCAGCCCCCCCAATGGTTGGGGATGTGTGGATTTGTGTGTGAGCTTGGGGGGCCCTTAAGGACCACCGGTCCCACCAGCTTGTGTGTGAAATGTTTTCCAACTGCTGAACACTCAGACTGTCCCTCTCTCTCTCTTTCTCTCTCTCACGACACACACACACACACACACACACATCCCTGATGGATGGGTTGAGCAGGCCAAGGTCGCAACTGGGCAGATCCGTCCTGTCCCCAAGTCTCTCCCTCTCGCTCTGACAAAAGCAGCGAGGGAGCTGGAGGTAGAGGCTTCAGGAGGGCAAAGCCTTTCTTGCTCCTTTGCATTTCCTTTTCTATGGGCAGCCCAACCTACATTAGAATGACAAAGATCCCTGTGTGTGTGTGTCTGTGTGTGTGTGTGTGTGTGTGCGCACTGGCCCTCCACAGAGAAAAAAGGGGCCCCCCTAGACAGCGTTATTGAGCTGTGCTGTGAAGGGTGAGAAGAAAGTGAGAGGAGGAAGGGGCTAATGATGTTGTTGAGGTAGCACGAGTTGGAAAACGCAGAAGATGAGGAAGAGGTATGGCGGGAAGAGTTGTGGGCGCTAACTGGCTGCGCATGCTCACAATGATGCCGGCGGTCCAGGGGTTGAGCAGGAGAATGGCGCAGACCAGGAAGGTGCAGACCACCACCTCGCTTAATCACCAAGCAAGGAACCAGTGACTTGAGGCCCGATGTACTTCTCCCCAGAACAGGAAGGGGTATCCGTTGGGGTAGTTTAACACGCCCTTGCGGCTAAACTCGTCGCAGATGGCTCGCACACTCTCGATGGCCTCCACAAAGTCGCTGGCCTGGCGAAGGCCGTTCAGGTAGAAGGGGAACTGGGCAAACTCTAAGGGCTCTGCAGCTGGGACTGCAAATGGAGAGAGAGAAGAAAGGCGAGACGTGAGATCTTTTTTTGTTATTCTTCTGCAATTTTCAGACTATAATAAAGTGTCAATCAGGACTTACTGCGCAGGTTCTCCCCTGTGGTGTCATACTTGTCGTGAATCCACTCTCTAGGATGGGGGTAGAAGTTGGCCTGGGAGGCGGCGTAGCCCAGAGGATCATTACTGACCCAGACTGTCAGGTAGATGTAAAATACCTCCGTAGGGATCAAACCCTCCGCATCAACCAGCCGTCGAGATGTCAGCTACAGGAAAGTGATACAAAAATTCAGATTTAATGGTCGTCCGTGGATGGAGTTTCGACGCAATAGCACACACGGACATCGTTGTCAGGTATTGCCTGTGGTGCTTGTCGACGTACCTGGCTGTAGTTGAAAGGCTCTTTCTTGGAGCCGGTCTGGATGAGGAGCTTGTACGCCAGCGCTCCGTCCTCTGTGCCGTTACGATAGCTGTCAGAGGTAATCCTGCCTGCCTGCCAGTCGGCATCAAAAGCAGCCTGAAGACCTACGTGAAGAAGAAGAAGAGTGATTGTCATTTATAAATATTAGGATTTCTATGGTCATAAAATCATAGCGGCTTTATTTTGTGTCAGTTTGGGTGGAAAATATAGTTTATTTCCATTTCTTTTTTTTACATCTGGCTCTGATTAATCAGGTTGTTTTTAGTTATCACTTCCTCCTGACTGGGCCTCTGACATGTTGTAGCCTGAGGACACACGCACACACATGCAAAGATAACCTACGACCCCGACCCGTCTACTGCACCACCTTTGAGCCCAGGTGGATGGGGTGGGAGGGGGGGCAACGGGTGAACTTTCATTCACCCGTTGCACATTCTCACCTACGTGGACACACACACGTTCACTCCTTCCCTTATTAAAATATAACCCTCAAAACAAAGCACAACTGAAAACAACGTGTGTTGGATTCTGAAGTAAAAAAAAAAAATACCACTCCCATTGGGACAGAGAGTAACGTATTAAAAAAGAAAGAAAGACTGAGCCTTACCGTTTAACCAGTCCTGGAAGTAGTGCAGCCACATGCGAGGCAGCTTGTGGTCACTGTCTCTGACCACATATTTAACGGAGTTGAAGGCGTTGTGCAGCTGGACCAACGGCCTCTGTGACCGGGCGTAATCAAATCCGTCCATGGTCACCAGGTACATGTTGTAGAAGGAGAAGTACTTGAACTGGGCGTCGATGAAATCGTACTCCTTGGTGTCGCGTGGCACTATGTCCGTTAGGTAGAGGCCGTCGTGCACCATGGTGGTCCCATACAGGCTGAGGCCCAGCAGGCCCAGGAAGAGGACCACCACGATGGCTTTGCTTTTGGGCTTGAGGAGCAGTGGGGCGTATTTCTCCCTAGCGAAGCTCGACAGGTTCCAGTGCAAGAAGGGCAGTGGGACGCACTCCTTTCCCGGTTTGGAATCCTCCACCTGAGCCAGGAGGTCCCGTGTGGAGCTCGAAGTAGGGGCGAAGAGCTGGGAGCCGTAGGGGTCCGGCAAGGAGGTGGCGGCGGTGGGGGAAGGCGAGTCGGCTAGCCGGAAAAAAACCCAAGCGGAAAATGAGTGTTTCGGCATTGCGACTCATTTACGCCGACTTCACAGGAGACTTTGGACTAAATAACACAGTTGTTAGGATCTTAGTTGGGGGGGTTTGTTTACCTTGAGGCGGCGACGTCGGGCAGAGGATGATGGACGTTGGGCTGGTGGAGATCTGGGAGGTAGGCGGCAGGATCGTGACGATGTGCTGGCCGGCCGCGTCACACTGCGTGAACGCCTGCACCGTGGTGGTGATTTGGGTGCTGGTGGTGATGGTGGATCCCTGCGAGTACTGGTGCGCGTGCGTCGTTGCGGTGGAAGGCGTGCGCGTCTGCTCGCCGGCGTCCGAAAGCTCGTGCGGAGAGAGGTGGATGACGCGGTCGGAGCAGGGGCTGTACAGGCAGCAGAGAACATCCAGGCGCTTGTCCTCGCGCCGGTGGAGGTCCAAGCTGAGGATGGCGGGGAAGATGAGCAGCACCATGCCGAAGTTGAACACGACCACGATGGCTGCCTGGAAACACACACGCGCGCGCACGGGGAGCAAATGAGAAAAACAAAGTGAGAATTGACAGTGAACAGTCTGTGAAATTACAGACAGCCGAACCCAGCTGGGGAGAGTCAAGGATCCTCCGCCTTTTTTTTTGTGTCTGAGACCACAGCCCAGAAAGCAAAAGAAAAGCCTTACTCTAAATCACCAGCCAGGAATACTAAGCGAGCCAGAAGGGGAGAGGAAGAAGTAACCAGTGCCAGAATAAAACAACTACTAGAAGAATCGAGTGAAACACACACATATAAACCCATAGAAATGTAGATATATATATGCGTATATTGAGATACACGTGAGAATTTGAGTAAAACCATTACCCTTCACCACCACCGCAGCTGCCTCCCTTCTCCCCCCAGCCCCTGAAGCATTCTAACTGGCTGTGGTTTCCAGTGTGTTAGTGCCTATGTGTGTGTTATTGTGTGTTTGCTTGTGTGTTGCGGACCACCCACAGGTTTGTCACAGATCAGAGCAAACCGCCTTGACGGGCCAGTGATATACTGATCCACTGCTCCCTCCCTCTCCTTCTTCTTCTTTCTCTAGCTGTTCATCATTCTCTTTGCTCTGATTATTCCACAATACACACACACAAACTCACATTTATGCACACATGCACACAAGCACAAAAAATGTAGGCCCCGTAGGTGCAGCGGCAATAAAACTGTGAACAAAGGCTTCCCTTGCCCTGAATGAATGTCACCTCCCTTAAGTTATCTCTTTCATTTTCAAAGGAACCCTCCGGCCTCTCGGCGCGCGATTGTGTACACGCGTTTACGTCTGTGCGCACGCGTGCGAGAGTGTGCAAAACACACCTGCAAAGAGAAGGCTCGCAAGGCAGGAATGGGTACGAGAGCGGCCATGAAGAACGCAATCATGTTGTTGATGGAAGTCAGCGCCACGCTGGTGCCGGTGCGCCGCAGACAGTCTCCTGTCCGATCCTTTAAAAAGAATATATAACTCATCAGGCAACGTTCAGGTGGAGAGGAGAGGAGAGGAGAGGAGAGGAGAGGAGAGAGTCCTAAAGGTACCTTGAAGGGGATGTTGCTTCCAGCCTCTGTGAAGGAATGAGCCAACAGAAACATGTCATCCACACCGATCCCGAGTGCCAGGAAGGGGAGCACCTGTGGGGAACGGTCAGAATGGACATTTACCATCAAAATCTGTGCTTTCAAAACACAAAAAGTGCCCCATCCTTACCCGCGCTTAAATGAAAGCGCGGTAATGTCAGCCGTTGTGTCGTACCTGTGTGGTGGCAGCGTTGAAGGAGAGGCCAAGCAGGGAGCAGAGACCCAGTCCTGCAGCCACTGACAGAGCTACTAAGAGCACGCCGGCCAGCCCAACGGCCCCCTGGGACTTGGCACAGTCCCACCGTAGCATGGTTACACAGGCATAGGCCAGCTGGAGAGAAGATTTCAAATATTAGTTATTTTACAGGAGTGAAAAAATAACGTTTTGGCTCGATTGACTAGACTATTGTTAGACTTACCATGAGCAGGTATCCCCCTGCTACCCTGATGACGCTGACATCGGAGAAGGATTTCATGATGTCGTTGAGGGTGGTGGTGGAGAACGCGTGGATGGACTGGCTGGAGTTAGATGGGATACTCTGGTGGACGAGCTAAGGGATGAAATTAAATTAGTCATCGACGGAAATACACCGAGTGAATCACTCTTTAGCACATTCCCTGATTAGATACTGCCAGCACTGGAGTGACGGTTACATGAATCGCAACTTCAGCGTATTTTCTGCACATGAAAACCAATTTCCTCCCTCTGACCGATCCCACCCAGCGCTATCCGACAGCCCCATATTTCAGGGCCCTCTCACGAAAAAAGCACCCTGTCCCTTTGAAATGTGCATGTGTGTGTGTGAAAGGGAGGATGAATGCGTGTGTTTACATGCGCTAAAATGTGTGTAATTCTGTGTGTATGTATGACAACTGAGGAGTAATGAGCACAGATGCCAGAGGTTGTGAGGTCAAAGGTGAAAGGGATGGGATCACATGGCTTGTGAGGCTGCTCTCTCCCCTCTGTGCCGCGAATGAACCAAGGCTCCCCGCAAAGCTGTTCAACAGTCCGCATTAAGTCATCCTTCCGTATCTAAAATAGACCCCTTATTGTTTTTTAATGTGTCTCCCTGTCAGTTTACATTTGACACTCTTTTTCTTTTTCTTCACCCCTCCTGCCCCGTGTGTCTCCCCCATTCTCCTCCCCCCTCCCTCTCTTCTTACCCTCACCGTGGTGGGTGTCAGCTATCACAGCAACAGCTTGTTCCTATAACTACGGCTGTGACAGAGAGAGATGATCGGCCTACCACACACACACACACACACGCCCTGCTCTGCCCTGCCATTTGCTGAAGACTGATGGAATTCAGACTCCAGAATAAGTCCCAACCAGTGTTTGTGCTTTGCCAAAGCGAAACAATCCAACCTCGTACTTCTTCTCGGTGGCCCCCGCCATCAAAACCCACACTTCAGCATTTGGCGCGACCTGTGTGCGTCCACGTAACCGTTTGAGGAACAGGTGAAATGTGTGACGTAGGTTCGCACCTCCACAAACTTCCTCTGCCAGGACTCGAGGATGGCGGTGGCCTTTTCTTCGTTCCAGTTTATGTCGTGGATCTCGTAGTCGTCTTTAAAGTGCTCGTACAGCTGCTTGGGACTCATCAGCAGGAACATGGTTTGGAGAGCCTCCGCACTGCAAAGCAAACAGATGAAAGGTCAGGACACCCCAAAGACGTCTGGCTCTCCACGCAACCACAGCTTAATGTGTGTTGAGCTGAGTGGAAGCCATCATCGATCGCACGACTGGCACATTGCAAATCATCCAGGCGGACTGTTCTTGGTGCCTTTTCTTCTGGGGTTTGTCTGCCTGCCTGCCCGCCAATGTAAACAGCTAAAAGCAGGTGCAGGTGTTATTTCTCGGCTGCGATCCCAGATGTCCTCAGGTTGTATTGGCACAGACGCAGCGAGCAGCAGCGCTAACTCAAAATGTGAAAGAAATGATCAGGAATCACATTGAAGAGTGGCCTAAGAGAGCTGGCCCTCTCTGACCCAACGCCACCACTCCATTTGTATTGGCCATGTGTTTAAACCCAATTGAAGTCAATGGAATGACACTAAACTGCGTCTTTTACACAACCCATGTGTAACAGGGTGTGTGTGGAGGTTGGGAGGGAGTGGCGGGGGGGGGGACTCTATGTGGCTGTCAATCATCTTTAATTGGACCATCCTGGACCGGGGTCATGCAAGAAAATCGATCCCTCTCGGTACCAGGCATTCCTGGCATGTGTCTGCTGGGTTATTAAGGGTTACACAGATTCCACAGTCACGGCGGCCCGCACGCTGTGGACACATAAACCCCCCCCCGGCCCCCCACCAACACTCCCTCTATCACATCCTTCCCTAAGACAACAATAAACGTATGACATGCTCTGTGAAATACCCCCGAAACAGCGGCAGGCAGATTCTTTTCAGGTCGTAATGAGCACACACCTCAGCAGAGCATCCCGGCTGTTCTTTACTCGCCCTCCCAGGATCAGCTCCTCCTGCCAGTGCATGAACTTCCGGCTGAAACCATGGCAACCACCCTGGAGACGCCCAGCAATGTCGGGACTCTGAATGGACGAAGAAGCAGAGTTGCAGATGGAAAAACGCGGAGAAATACATGAAGTGTTTCTTCTGAGTTCTACTTTTATCTATGACATCTCTTTACGATACAACGGCATTGTGGGTAAGTTTACCTCTCCTTGCTCCTTGTTGGGTGCACTGAGAGGGCAATCAGGGTCTGAGGGGTCCAGACACGGCCTGTTCATGTAGGCATGTCCAACCTAAGGAATCAAAGCACATGCCTTAATTATCACCAATATAGAACAAATAAGTGCAAAGTCTTTCATATATTTATCGATCGGTATTAGCAGGTCTTACCTGGGCTTTGTCCAACATCTCTTTAAATCCTTCCAGGGAAGTGAACTGACTCAGCTCCTCCATCAGCTTGACCGGATCTAGATTCATCCACTGGATATCGGGCATTCCCCTGCAGAGCAAAGGCATGAGCATCAACCCAAACCCATCTGACTATCACTTGAAGCAGTAACTGCACAAGCGCCCGTGCCCCGTGGTGCCTGCGAGGCTTTGCTAATCTTTGCTGTGCGCGGAGAAACAGTAGAAGTCTGTCTCCCTGGTTGGGCCCGGCGACGCAGGAGGCTAGCTGCAGATACAGGATAAAATAGCGTTTATTATCCTGTTTCACGCTGCCACAATGGCGAAGGAAAGGGCACGGTGGCTGCCTGCTCGCTTCCATTCCTCAATGTCCTGCGCTGAGTCATAACGATTACGTCTGCCTCCCAAACATCTTGATAAGTAGGGAGGGAAGGGAAAGGTTGGGCGGGTGGATGTGCGGCAGATAGGTGAGGGAGGAGAGGAGACGCAAAGGGGGAACTGTCACGTTGTTCAGTTGAATCCGCAAACAAATATAATCTGCTCTGAGCCTCGACTGTACCGCCAACTTCCTTCTCCTTGAAATACATTTGTCTATAAACATACTAGAAACTCTTACAATTAAGAGCTTTTTCTCCCTTTAATTGGCTTCTTGTCGAATATCAAACTCAAGTTTTACATGTCTTGAGTAGTAAATATCAATTTAGAGCTAAATATCCTGCTCTGGAAACTTGTTTTTGTTTCCACGGTATTTATCTTTCAGACAACAAATAAAGAAAAAAGAAATAATTTGCCACGTTTTGCATCGGGAAAGTAAGAAAGACAACAGTCGGACAGAAAGAGATGGCCATAAAAGAATCCTAACTCAACTGTGAGCCCAATCTCCCTCCACTGGCTCATGAAGCTCCTCTCCTGTTCCCACATACCAGGGTTTCTTTTGCTGCTGCTCGCAAAGACACGCTCCTTTATCAGCTACTTTTTGCTTGAGTTAACCGGGCCTGTGCCCTTTTGTTTTTTCATAGATTGCTCCCCTTTGTTCTCCTAAGTTTTTTCTCTCTCTTTCTCACTCACCCTCTCTTTCCGAAAATCTCTCTCTCCCTCTCTCTCTCTCTCTCTCTCCCTCTCTCTCTCTCTCTCTCTCTCTCTCTCTCTCCATCTCACTCTTGCTTTTCGTTTTGCATTTAAAACCAAAGCTGAAGTGAAGCGGAAGCTGAGGGGGGGGCTCAGGCCTCAGTGGCCACTACCATTTCCCTTCAAGTAAACTATTAATAAATAACAACAGATGCTGAAGACTTTGTGAGAGGGACAGGAACACTTGGGAGATGCATGAAGCTGCAAAGCTCCTCTCCTGCCTCACTATTGCTCTGCCTCGAGAGGCTGAGGATGGAAACCATGTAATCATGCAACATACTGCTGTCAGCATTTGTTTACAATGAAACATCTGCTGTGAGCTAAACTTATTTCATGAACTCAATTGAAATATCACTGGACGACAAAAAAAAGGCTCTCTTTCAGTCAAGTTCTCAAGAGAACTTTGTCCTGAAAAAGGGAAGAAAAAAGAAAAAACCTGAATCTGCAAAAGCCCAAATACGCCCCGACTCCACAGTTAACCGTCTTGTAGCTTCACTCTGTCTTTCTCGGGGGACTTGAGGCTTGAATACTGCCCATTTTATTTGTTGGACAACTTGGGAGCTGGGAGCCCGGGGCATTACCATGAGAATGCCGAGTGTTAGCCGTGAGCTGACAAAGCCGGGCCCCCTCCCTCCTCCGGGGCCCCTGCACTGATGGACACTCACTCGTAAACTGAAAGAATGCTTACCATTGTCTGACCCAAAGGACTCCCCTGCCACCACCACCACCACCGCCACCGCCACCGCCGCCGCCGCCGCCTCCCCGCCCTCCGTTCTATCAACCCACCGCCCAGTTGCTTCTGCAGCCATCTCCTCTCTCTCTCTCTCTCTCTCTCTCTCTCCATCCCTCCTCATCCTTACTTTCCCTCTTTGGATTTCTCTGTCAGGACACCCCCCCCCCCCCTCCAGTCCCTCTCCGGGCCCTTAAAGAACTCTATTACTGACCGCTGCTGTCAGTCACAGCACTCGCCGCCCAAATACTGAAAGCCTCACTGTATGTCTCCATCGGGCATGTGTTAAAGGTTACGGAACCCTCTAAAAGCTTTAGTCTTCTATGCAAGTCAGGTGTAAGCAATGACAGCAAAGGCAGAGCCAAAACCTCCGATGAAATATTTCTGACGTGTATAAAAGAAATATTTCAAGACTTACGGTAAATAGGCGGAGCCTCCCTGCAGTTTGGCCCCTTCCCAAAAACAGTCCAATGGAGTGATTATCATACAGGGGAACAGCTTGTCAATCATCTGAGATCAGGTAGTAGAAAGGAAGGACGATTAAAGATCACAAGCCAGGAAGGATTAGGTTAGACAGACAGATAAAGCACCGGTTCGCGGTGAACTCACCCTTTCAATCATGACATTTTCGATAATAGGAACTCCCGATTTATAGCATATTTTGTTGAGATCCCACGATCTGCAAAAGAAAGAAAACGTGTTAGAACTTCCAGCCGTTATTGTCGACACACAAAGAAACCTTTTCACGTGACTTGTCCACGGCTCACTTACTTTCCAAAGAGCGACACCTGGACCTTGCTGGCGGACAGGGCGGCTTCCATGTGAACCAGCAAAGCCTCCTGGGTAAGAATATTGGTGCCTTCTTCTTTGGGGGTCTGGATAAGCATCTGTGAGGTAAATACTGACTCCTCTCCTTGCTTCTCCTTGGTGTAGCGGAGCTCCGTGCTCACCCGACTACCAGCTAGAAAACAAAGACAAAATGAATACTGAATGGAAAAATGGATAAAAGTTCCGTATTATTTATACATTAGCCCAATTTTGCATGAAGAAACACACACATTTGGACCCTATAACAACGTGTGTGCGCGTGTGCACACACGCGCACACACACGCTAACCCAAGAACACACACACATATATATCGACCAACGCCCTTGGCCATTGCCACTGTTGGTTTTGAAGGCACTTCACACAAGCCAGTGTCTGGCCAAAAGAAATGAGTAATGCCGCCTCTCGTTGGCTCCTTCTGTGAAACAGATGTGCCCTGTTCATTTGTAAAAAAAAAAAAACTCTGATGCCCCAAAACCCTCTGCCACTCTGCCCCGGGGCAGAAGACGCATCCACCCATGAGAGGTTGGTTAAGGGGGAACAGCCAGTGGCAACGAAAGACCGCCAATGACTCACGAGAAGCTAAAGAAAGGCGAGTAGATTCATAAAGAGACAGAGAGATATTGGAAGTCAGAGACGGTGCTGAATGAAAAACGAGAGACGCAGAGAGGAGGAACGAGGGAGAGAGAGCGCGAGAGATGTTGTGCTGTGCGGTAGACTGCAGCCCCCTAATTACAGGAGGTTGCCCTGAAAAGAGTTTGCCAGCCGGGGGGATCTGAGCCTCTGCCAAGTGGACATGAAACATGCCGCGCTGGATCACAGAGGGCCCCGTCTGCCCCTCTCGCTGTCCCACTACACGACGACCCCGGAGAGAAGGAGAAGGGGGGGGTGGGGGGAGGTGGGGGAGTTTGGAAACCGGGGGGGGGGGGGGCTACCTCCTTCTTTAATTCGTAACTCTCGTCACTCGTTCACTCACGTTCCCTGAACGCTGCAATCAGACCGGCCTGCATCTATTCCCCTTATACCCTTGATACTATAAATCCTGCCTCTTTCCCTCCGACTGTCTCCCGCTTGCTTTCTTTCTCCCTTTCCTCATGTTCTCTGCACCTCCCCCAGCCTGGAGCGGGCTCCTATAATTGATGGGGAGAAAAAGAAAAAACAAACTATTCAGCCCGCCGCCGCAAAAGTGTGAGATCAGGTTAGAACTCGAGGCCTCGGAGACACTGTCCAATATTTCTCGGCTTATAAGGCTTCAATTACCTACGCTGGGGCTTCGTAATATAAGGTCACCTCGTTCGTTTTGCAGTCACGGGTGCCTTTGTCTGGCTCAGTACATCCCAGAGAGAAAAAACCAAACAACCTCAAAAGGATCTCGCTGGATAGCCTTCGCACATCTGGTCCCTACAAAGTTGAGAAGCCATGATGCTTTTTCTTCGCAGGGAAGCAAAACATATGAAGGGCAAAAAAAACCTCAATCTTGTATTTGAGCGAATAATGAGCCCGGAGTTTCTTTCACACTGTCAAGTGCAGGTCAAGGGTCGGCCTCAGACCCCGGCTGCTCGGAGGTACAGTTCTCAGCCGCACAGATTTCCAATCACGAAAGGCTACTACAAAATGGAAGCCTCTCCGTTCGAGGACCTCTTTGACATCTGTTAAACCTTTTTTGACATTTCGTATGTTAACCTCTACAGTGTGGGGTTTTGATCCTAACAGGAACTGGGTGGCTCGGAGAGACTCTGGCTCTGTAATTACAGGCCTCCTGAAGTAAATTATAGCTATTTGTGTCTCGTTCCTCCCATCTGGACCACCCAGGCAGCCCGTCCTCTCTCTCTTTCTCGCCTCCTCTCCTCAACCCCTGGTCCGGGGCCCCAACCACCCAAACCTGAGCTCGCCGACTTTTCTGCTCAGTTCAGCTCTGTTCGGCTCCAGAAGGAACCTTGTTCTTTCTTATCTCATCTGTCTTACCGTGGTTTTCCTTCTTTATCCTTTTCTACTTTGCTTTCTTTCACACTCTGTTCAATCCCCCTTCTCTCTCTCTGTCTCTCTCCCTCCCTCTCTCTCTCCCTGCACGCTCAGCCTTAAAGAGACAGTTACCGGGAATTTTCCCACCCTGGGAAGAAAGCGCAGTGCGGAAACTCAGTGTTTCAACACCCCGGCGGACGCTAATTTTATTACATGAGCAATTTTCTATCATGAAATATGAGTCTTTGTCAACACGATAAAGAACTATGGAGGGAAAAGAATCACAAAATGATTTCAAATGATTCTAAATCACATCCATGGTTCTTCCATTGGATGTTTTTGACAAGCTCGACCGCCACAATAAGAATCTCAGCAAACAACTCGACTTGCTGGGTGCAACATGTGAATTTGTTTAGCCTCACCACTAAAAGCAAGGAAAGAGAAAAGCAAATTTAAAATGTTGCAACACGCCCTGACATGGTTGCATGGCTGTATGTACAGATATAATGCTTGTGTGAACGTGTGCGCGTGTGTGTGTGTGTGTGTGTCCACCAGGTTGAACGCTGGACCCTGTCTCAACCAAACCCAGTCATTTCCTCCCCACCTGACCCCTCCACTTCCAAAAGCTGAACACCCAGAATCCCCTAACTCTGCGAAATATGTGCGGCTCCTCACATCTGGCTTCTCGGGTGAAGGCAATGCCATCTTTAAAGTGCTGCGCTTCAGATGCCTTCTATTTTGTTCCATTCTGTCTTTGTGGCTTATAGGCCCAGTCCCAGTTCCAGGCCATGCTAGGTCAGTTCAGGCCACCTTCAAAGTTCAGTGTGGTAGATTAGCTGGATTAGGGGGCCTCTGAAAGGCCCCACGCTGCTATGGAGGAAGACCCAAGACGAAGAGGGCTGAAAGTGACATGTATGCTTTTACCTGCTACATGGTGCATTAGATCTGACTCTTTCCTAATTTACACAGCATGCCAACATTATGAGTACTACTCCTACACGGAATATTGATGATAATAATAATAAAATACAGATGGGGGGAAAAGAGGCCTGCTCACGAACGCAGCAACATTACAAAAAGGACAGAAAGTCATTCTATGCATCATTTACTTTTTTTCTTAGCCGCCTTTTCCCCACAAAGTCCTCTAATAAAGATCCTTTACTTCTCATTCTTCTGGTCTGGCACCCGGCGTCACAATAAAAAGTCCTTTTGTGACTCGTGGACCCACCAGAATCAGGACTGCGCCCCACTTTGGGTCGGCGGTCCGGGCCCTGTCCGACGGCATTCCCTCAGCCAGGGCACCGCAGAAAGCAGGCTGCCCACCAGCAGATGGGCCGTTCCTCCGTACAATCCTTCTCTGCTGCAGCCCCAGACTGAATGCAGACCCTTTTGTCATTCAACCTCTTCAATTCCTTTCAGATGTTTCCCAACAAACAGCAGAATAAAATAAAGAGGGAACGTTTTTTTTTCTTCTTCTTCACAACAAAAGCAAATGGACCAAAACGTTCCCAGCCTTTAAAACAATGCCAGTTGGCTGTGGGAGGGTGAGCCTGGCACTTTAGTATCTACCTATAGAAATACAGTCTGTGTGTGTGTGTGTTTGTCTTCACACGCACACATTTTATTGTTTTCTTAATTGTCAAGGACAGTTGTGTTATTTCAGGAGACCCTAAAAAAAAAAAAAAACCTAATAATAACGTGCCAGCATGAAAAAACTAAATTGATCAGTTTCAATGTGTTTAAATGATGCAACTTCCACCATCATGAAAGCATGCAACTGGCCTGAGATCACACCCTAAAAAAAGTATAAAACAGCGAAAACAACATGAAAAATCAGTTTCAGTTACATTCTATTCAGATGTGCCAGTGGTGTTAGCCACCACACATAAATTTTCACCCGGGTTGGCATTTAGGCACTTTCTATTTCCATATGTATAGGCTTGCCTCTGCTAATTATGCTAATCATGGGCAGAGTTGGCCACTGTGAAAAATAGTCACATTAGACACTCCACTGACCGCTAATACTGCTTAATGTGTAGTTGAAACATACATTCATCCCTGCCTGAAAGGCAAAAATTTTCCACGTTGCTGGTCTCATTCAGACGAGAAATGAATTTATTGAGCCCAAGAACCATTTCTTTTTTTCCCTCCCAAGTACGGAGAAAATGTCTCCCTCTCCCTTTACTCCTTATACTTGCATGGCGCGAAGACAGGAGCAAATGGTGCAAACTCTAAGGTGACTGGTGGAGCTTTATTCCGTGCCGAACCAAAGACAAAGGTTGCTCTTCAGCCGGGAAAGAAAGGGAGCGACACTATTTTGATTGAGTTTTAATTATTCCATTTTCAGTCGCACTGCGGCCTTTATGCTGCAGCCAGTGGATTAAACCGTAAACCTGCTATCACGGTAAATGTGGCTACCTGGTGAATGCTTTATTTGTTTTAAAACGTCTACTTCCAGCGGACGGGCAGGAAGCAGTCAGTGTGTCTCCTGCATCGTGGGGGCCATTTGTCCGTCGTGTGTACATGTGTCGCTAGCTGCTCAATGCGTGTCGATTTGTTGGGGGGTGGTCCTGGTCTGAGTGAGTGGAGTGCGTGTCGGGGGGACATTCTGAAAAAAGGGATGGAACGAGGGGTACTTGGATTGAAGGATGGCGGGAAGGGGTGGGGGTGGGTGTGTGTATTGGGGGGGGGGGTTGAAATAAACATTTAGAAGTGACCCAAGTTGACTCTGGTCCTTGTTGGTCTCTCTACCAGTGAGGTCCTGGCCTGAGCGCTGGGAGTTAATTATCTAGCTGGGGCACCAGCGCGCACTATTCACCTCCAATAATGCCTCATAGAGCTCCCTTTCTCTGTCTGAACTGGGCCGCTGTGTGCGCTCCAATGAATTATAGCATTTACCTGCTGTGCCGCTCTGAGGTTTGTTTAGAGAAACCGCTCCAAACACCCGAATGCCCACGTGTGCATTCACTCGTTTACGCCGACTCGGACGGCCCCCGAGCCTCCTTTTTAATGCGTCCGTTTCTTGCGAGGTGACCACGACACGTGAATCGCCGCGCGTCTACGTCATAGGGCCTGTGTATGGTCTGTGTGGTCCCCCTTTCCTGTCCTCTTTCTACACAAACTCTTTATGGGACATGTGGTGGGCCGGCTATCCGGATAGGCCCCGTCTCACTGCACTCATATTTGGACAGCTTGAGTGTGTGTACATGTCTGTCGTGCGTTACCCAAACTGTGCCAAGGAGAATGACTGTAGTTAATGTGAGAGTAAACACCAGCACTTCTACACGGCGGCCATTTCTATCCTCTCTTTTCCCCAACAAGCTTTTTAAATGGGCCTCCGTAAAAAAAATTTAAAAAGCAAATGATCTGAGCAGAAAAGTCGTAAAGGTTTGATTCCAGACTTAAAACAATTATCCTAACACATTGCAAAATAAATCATTTAGCAGTGAAAATGTCAAGCCACTTCTTCCTCGTGGACACACATTGTCCCGCAGCCCTTTATGCTGGAAGAAAGATGCACGACTCAAAGTCACACTTGATGTTTGTTCAAGTGAGACAGGCCCCAAAAAAGAAGAAAAAAAAGTGTCAGCTAGCCGTAAAACTTCCGCCCTGTTCCTGCCCCAACCCCCCCAACGCCTGCTCTCATCCCGCTCTTCTTCCTGCACCTCTTTTCCCTTTTTTTTTTTTTTACGATCTCCCTCTTTTCTGCTTGTGGACAATACAGACTGGGTCACACGTTCCTCCGGCTCACACCAGCTCTCACGCGCTCAAAGGGTGGGCTGGCCTGCGTGCACGTACACTGAATAGGAGCTCGTGTTCCTCAGGTGTTTGCAAGAAAAAAAAACACGCTACGCTCTGATCCGCCGTTTAGAACGAGGCTCGCTGAACTGAGGAACTGGGGGTATGTTGATGGGTGATGTTCGCCTCGAGGACTGCGCAGTAAGCTAGAAATAATCCCCCCCCCCCTGTCAGACTAAACACCCTGATACCTTGGCTTTGATTCCCACCAACACAGGTGGGAGGAATGAAGGCACGACAAACCCCTCTGTTCTTTCGTCGCCTATTTCCACCTCGCAAAGCCGAGAAAACACTCAACGAATGCGACAAAAAAGGATAAAAAAAATGTTGATTTGCCACTGTTGCGTTGGGCTAAAGGCAGACACGTCACGCCTGTACAAATTCAATTTTAAAACATGTCTAGATACCAGAGACTAGCTGGAAGTATGTCTTCTAACTTCCCCTGTTGGGTCCGCTCGCTCTGGACAGACGCCGCTGCTCCACGGCGCTTTGGTCGTGTGGGACGGGAGGAAGCAATTAAAAAAGCCCTGGTGGCCTGACGTCCCAGAGAAAGCAGACAGACAGGTAGAAATATAAACAGACATGCACGCAGTCAGGAAATTCGGGGGGGGGGGGCAGACAGACGGTTAGGCCGGCTGCGAACACCAGAAGTGGCAAAGATGACAAGCGTGCGCGTTCACGCGTGCGTGGGAGCGATTATGAACTTATGATGGGAAGCATATGCCCCGCGCACATTCACACACTCACACACACATACGGTTCACGCCATAATGGCGTTGTTAACACATACGGCGTCAATTCCCAGTTAGTTTACCCTGAACAAACGAGGACACGCGTGGGAACGCTTTGTTTATGCTACAATCATGAAGAGCTGCTTCCATGAGATTAAACATGTCAAGAAAAATACACAAAACGCAGTCTTATAGAAACTATATGATATCATTTGTTTTATTTCAGGGAATGTCCTGCTTCTTTCTGCTTGTGTGCAACGGGGCGTGTGGGTGTGTTTTTCCTGGGTTGTGTGTGTGTGTGCGAGAGAGAGAGAGAGAGAGGGAGAGAGAACTAACCTCTCCTTGTTACCGAACCACTTTACTCTCCATTGAGGCCCTAGCAGCTTTGTCAATGGGCTATTGGTGGAAACAAGGCAGGCAGAAACTTTAGAAACATGACCACGGCCTCTTAAAGGCACAGCATTCCTTTTCAGCCCCCCTTGTTCAACTCTCTCAATCCCGCAGCAAAACAACTGGCACGCAAACATCTAAACATCTCCTTTAAGAGATGGATCTGCCAATTAGCTCAAGAGGTAATCCTGAAGCTTTACACTAACCAAAAGAAACCAAAGGGGGGAAAAAAGGAGACTGTGGAAATTCAAACTCTTGTTGCCTGCTTTTGTTGCAAATTCAGGCTTTTGAAAACGTCAAGCTAATTATTTCAGGGACTACATTCAGAGAGATTGTTTTTGTTTTTTTTATTCTGGCCGGTGGTGGAATTTTCTTTTTAATTCCTGTGCAATTGAAGCGCGCAGTCGGCAAACACTTCTCCCGACGCCAGCAGGAGAAGTGTGATTGCCCCAAACACCTCCACAAGGCTCCTGCAGGAGCCGCCTGTCCCCCGTCCTCCAGCGGCATGGTGGGCTTAAAAAACCCCCATAGGGTCTGTTTATATTCACCAACTGCTGCAGCGCTTTTAGAGTGTGCAAAACAGGTGGGTAAACTTCAGCTGCATTCACTTATATTTTTCTTCTCGTGAGGAGGAGGAGGGAGGGAGGGAGGGAGGGAGGGGGTTTCAGGGAGGTGGTGCCTGCCTGCCTGCCTGCCTGCCTGCTTGCCTCTTGTTGAATGGAATCCAAGAATAGTTAGGGACCACACAGGGAGGTGAGGGGGGGGAGGGGTCAGAGCCCTCAAAGATGGCTAACCATTCACACAGTCCATCTGCTGCGGGGATCAGCCCCGCCACTGAAAGCCTGGGGGTTTAAAAAGGAATTTGGCTAATGTGAAGAAACCAAATAAAGCGGCCACCACCCCTGAAAAATGTACAGCTCACCTAAGAGCGCAAAAGAAGAGAGCGGCGTCGGCGTGGAATCACGGACACACAGCCGCGCGGGACGGGAGACGGACGGCTGGTGCGTGTCCTCGTGACTGAAGACGTGCGTTTGGGGCTCTCAGGTAAACTGTGACATGTGAGCATGTAGAGCCGAGCGTGTCCACGACACACGGGAAACACGCTTTTTACTTGGGCCTGAATTTCGGCAGTCAATCCATCGCTCACTGCCCCTATTGCCCTCCCCTTCCACGGAGGTGACACCCGGCCTTTTCCCCCCGCCCACTAGTGGCATTTACCCCCCCCCCCCCCCCAGCACACCAAAATGTACAAACTTCTCCCACCTGAACAGAAAGTCAAGAAGCCTGAAGTGAACTGGCGCAGCGATGCCAGCCGAGGGCCGGTTTGCGTGAGGACCGGCAGCAGACACCAGCTTCACAGGAACCACGCGGTGGGTCAGATGATGAGAGAGAGAGAGAGACGTCTGAAACTCACCTTCCACCCACAGCTGCTCGATGTCCGTCTCGATGGCCGCGACTCGAAGTCCCACCGACAGAGCCCCGAATACCAAGAGTCCAACGAAGAGGACCTTCCCGCAGTGCCTCTGGATGTGGCAGCCCAGAGAGAACAGGAGGGCCTGGAACCTCGCCCGGATCCACAGAGGAGCTTTCTGACCTACGGCCTTCCCCTGGAGTCGGAGCAGGAGGGAGGGCAAGGAAAAAGAGACATGATTATTATCGGTGTTAACGCACATAAACAATTTGTCTTTGTACAACTGTCCGCACAGACAAGTCAAGCCTCACAGATTGTAATCTCTCTCTCTCTCTCTCTCTCTCTCGCTCTGAAGCAAAGTGACAACCTGCGTCCAAATCAGTGGATTACACATGCAATCCGTACAGAGACTGGAATTGACTGATGACATCGACCGAACTCGCTGCGGACACCACGAGCCGGGATCCCCACATCTGGGACGGGTTTAATCTGCACGGCTGAAGGCAACAACTTGTGCTGATGAAAAGCTTTCAGGGAAACTAATTCTTAACCGTTAAAAAGTCCAGTGAGACTACAAAGGAAAGGAGCTCAGAAACACAATGTCAACCAGAACAAACCATGCAATTAATTTGGACATTTAAATCATCAATGCATAATCTGGTCTTTAGTGTTGGTAACTATGAGACACGACTGGTGGTTAACTACCACGTTAGTTTAAGTCTATTTCCCCGCAGTCATCTACATTATTGATGCTTTTTCCTTATTATTTTTTGTTTATCCCCCCTAACTATTCCGCAGTACTCGTTGTGTTGCCACAAATGTCCCCGCTGCAGGAGAGACATCGCGCTGGTGAAACACGTCCAAGCGCCCGGGCGGTCCAAAGATGCTTTGTCAGATCAAACTCAATCAGTGAATTCCTTCACAGGACCCACCGCATCTCCAAAACAGACCCGCGGGGCCAGTGCGTGCAGCGAGCCAAAAAAACACGCACTACACGGGCTGCCACACGGGAGCAGAGCCTCCCCCCCCTCCCCCCCTCCCTCCCTCCCTCCCTCCCGGTGGCTTTAACGACATAAATGAATGAGTCTGGTGTCCATTCAAACAAGGCAGCAACGTTAACGTGCTGCCAAACGTGACATTGTTGTGTTAGTGTCCCTTTATTCCAAAAAGGGGGGGGGGGGGTCCCAAAATGTCAGACGAGCTCAGCCTTCTAACAGGTTTCATTCTATGAAACACAAACTTTACGCGACTTCCTCCCCGACCTCTGAATACACGGTGTCGCTGTTATTCTCTCCCGGGGAGCTCCGGTGGTCCCGGGACCCTCAGCGGAGGGAGCTGCCGCCTCAGCATACCCTCCATTCCCACACACAAACGCGCCCCCCACCCACCCCACCGCCTCGACCCACGGCTGAAACCCAAAAGCTGCCCCTCAACACGTTTCATTCACAAACCCCCCCCCCCGGAATTAAATCCACAGTGCACTTTGCGGGCGTCGCATCACCTTTGAGATCTGTTTAAGTGCGAACGCGGCGCGGCAGCAGCTGGCTCTCCGCGGCGCGTCTGGGTTCGCGGGCGGCTGCAGCGAGCGCGCGTAACTCGGGGGTAAATCTCCGTAGACGCCGACCCCTGGGACCCCGCGGTCCGAGGCCATAGTCCAACGAGGTGGGGGTGAGGGGGGGGAAGGCACACTGGGCGAAGCGACGGCGGATCGGTGCGCGAGTTCAGCAGAAACGACAATAATCCAACATAGAAGAGGAGCGCGTCCAGCGGCGCCGGCGGCGAGGAGTTGGAGGCACGCGTTCTAGTCTTCCCCGGAGCCAAACAAGCCTCGAAACTCCATCCCAACATTATGCGCCGAAATCCGTAAGGATCCCTCAGTCTCATCGTCCCGGTGGTTGGTGAAACGACGTCTCGGAGAGGAGGATGAGTAGTAGTAGTAGTAGTAGTAGTAGTAGTAGTAGTAGCAGCAGCAGCAGCAGCAGCAGCCTGTGCCTGAGCCGTCCGTGTCAAGTCTAACTCCGATCCCGTAGCGGTAACATTTGGAGAAGTTCCCCTCTCGGCGAATCCTGAAAAGGGAGGTTTGACGGGAACGCGCTGCGGCTCCCATTGGCCGAGGAAGAGGCAAATTACTTTGCAAACATCGCCTATTATTAGCTGCTAAGCAACAGCTCACCAAAGTGGAGAGAGAGGGGAGGGGAGGGCAGGGAGAGGGGAGGGGAGGGGAGGGAGGGGGGACCACCCAGGCTGCGGCTGCCTGGCCTGGAGGGAGGGGGGGTGGAGGGGGAGGAGGAGGGAGAGAGGAACTCTTTCAATAAACTCCGCACATCCACTGATGCCGCGCGCCATTGCTTTTTTTTTTTTTTTAAATGTACAGTTTCATCGGTGAAGAAGAAAAGAAAAAAGTGGTTGATTCAGCTTTTCACACAAGAATGTAAACATGTGATTTTTTTTTTTGTATTACAGATCTTTCAACACTTTTTAAAAAAAATTTTTTTTTTTACATCACCTCAGGTCATCTTGTGCCTGATAAGGATTCCGACCATCACATTTGTTACAGAACACAACACAGCTGTGAGAATAGTGTGTGAAGGCTTTTAGCACCAACAGCTGTAATCTCAACTCTCGGGCCAAAACGTTTCTAAAAGTCGGTTGACAGGTTTTCTTGCACCCTAAAACAATATAACCTCTCATGCTAGTAAGAGTTGTGTGCATGCATGCGTCTTTTTCAAATAACACCTCGGAGCTGCTTCGGTGTGACACCGTTATCTGCGGGGAGACTTTTGGAGAGCTCCCATGTCTCGCCATGCGTGATTTCACGAGTTCAGAGAACAGTTCACCTTAGAACAACATCTGAAAATGAAAGAACGAAAGAAAGAGGCTTCTCAGACGCCGTTGTTTCCAATCTCTCAACTACAACTTGGTGGTTTACTAATGTAAGCGCCCACATGGCCCCACTCGTAGCAGTATGGGGGGGTGAGAAGAAACGCTTCTCTGCCCGCCAACCTGTGCAGTCTATTTGTCAGGTGGCTGGTGCTAATTTGAGGCCCCTCGAGAGACTGTAAAATGATTTGAAGCTGAAGTTAAGCGACTTGTAGGGAATTGGTGCGATGAGCTCATTCTGTTTGTGACACGTTCAGAAGGTCCAAGATGCAACATGGAGATGCTGATGAAGAGCCTTTAACATTTAAGGGAGTATGTTGGTAGAAGTGGAATATAATATGAACACTTGTGTTTTCTCTAGTGTATAATATCCTGACATTATATGTATATATATAAGCATGTAGTGTCTATCCAGAAAGGACAAACCAAACGTTCCAGCTGGGCGTTCTCATCTCTTCTCATCGCCCACCTACTTCTTCTCTACCCACTTGGCCCCCGGTAGAAGTCTGCAACCTTCCACTAGATGTCACTGTCTTGTCCACCACACGTTGAAATACGTGTGCATTTGTGAATATTATAACGTAGTCATGCAATAACAAACAGCGTCAGCTCACCTAAAAGTTGGCATTCCCATTTTTCCTCTACGACAAATTAAGAGATCATTTCTATGTTCATGATGATTTTCATTGTGGAGTCGTCGCTTATTATTTACTTTCAATTCATTTCATTAATTGTTCACTTTCTAAAGAGTTAGAACAAAGCGAAAAATATCCGTCACGTGTTCACAAAGCCCAACGTGCCCGAATCTGAATGAAAGTTGCTGTCAGGATAAAAAAACGAGACTTTGTGTTCATCAACAACACCCTCATCCATAAAAGTCCGGCGTCACACACGTTTTACTTTTCAGCTACTGCAATACTTAAAAGTACTTTCTATTGGTCCCGTCCAAATAATATTCAGTGGTGTAATGTGAACGAGGTAAAATGACTCGTGTTCTACCTATAAGCATAGTTCAGATATGATGAATTGAATACAATAACTTATAAAAAAGGGTCAAATGAGCTACAGCGACTAGAACAATATAATGCTACTCAACAAGGTTTGTAAATTATAAACATAATGGAGGTTTTGGAGTAAATTACTTTTGATTATTGCTCAGAGAATTCGCTGTTGGTACGTTTAGATCCCAAAACATCTACAACATACGACAATACAACACGTACGGCTCTAAGTGGTTCCGTTTGTGTTTGATTCCTCACTGATGTGAGGGTTATGAACACAGACAAGTCACCACTGGGGTCAAAACAAGCAAAGCTTTTACAGAAGCCGGGATGATGAATAAATAAAAGGCTGTAAAACACTATTTTATACTTTCCAACCTCTTTTAACATTTTATTCACAGCTCTCCGTCTCCTTCAAGCCCAACGTTATTGTATTTGCATGTGCTCTCCTGAGATCTCGTCTTCCATCTCAATAAAACGGGACGTGTCCACTGACTCTGTTGGACCACAGATGCCGATATCAACGTCTCATTGGCGGCGCAGTGGAATGACGCGCCTGCATGGAAGCGAATGGAGGCGACGGGCAAAGTCAGCGTGGAGCACGTCGGGTCGGGCTGAGCGGTGGAGGGAAACAGGCAGCTGGAAATGGGAGCTAATGTGGAATGTGAGGAATTGGGTTGTGTAGTCGGGGGCCCCTTCAAGCCTAACAAACTCAGGGAGGTCCGAGGCCTGGTCCGAAGGCCTTGGATAAATAAACCCTCGGAGATGACCATGCGCTGTGCAGATATCTGCCATCACGCTGCCCCGGCCTCCAAACATAAACCTGCCAAGCCCTCTCTCCCTCCTCTCCTCCTCCGTGTCCCCCTGTCCCACACGGTTCCTTCCCTTCCATCCATCCCTCTCTTTGTCCTCTGCGTTTTAATCTTCCTCACTCTGCTTTTTTTCTTTCATTTTCCCCTTAACACCTCCGTCATTCTCCTCCGTTTCATCTGCTTCCCACCCGGCTCCTGCTCCTGCTCCTCCTCCTTCCTCCTACCTCCTTCCTCCTCCCTTCCCTTCCTTTCCTATCTCCATTCCTCCATTTCATGCCTCCCCAGTGACTCCATCCATCCACCCGTTCATCCATCCATCCATCCATGCATGGCTGGCTGGCTGTCCGTCCGGGGCACAGTGTGTGCTACAGGCAGAGCTGACGGAACCGCTCTGGCACTCAGGCGTCGCACAACAGCGCGGACGCCCAGGGTTCAGGCCCGGAGAGCGTTTATTTATCCAAGAGAGGGTCTCCGAAGGCGGCTCAAAACTACATTTGTTCTTTGTCTCTCCGAGGGAGAACGCAAAGACAGAAGAATAAATGAAAGACGCAAGTGCGCGTGTGGTGATTTTCTTTGAGGTCGTCGTTCAGCCTTTAGGAGTTATCATGGGACATGGGACAGTGCCGTGTGGTTACACCAGGACGAGACGCGTCTTTTCCAGGGAGGAAGACATTTTTGACAGAAATTGGGAACAAGATTATAAACAAGTAAACTGAAAGAATATGGAATAACTACAAATGAGAGTATACGGTGTCGTGCTAAAGACTGTTTGTTGTTTCTCATGTCGTCTTTGTACTTCTGTCACATGTTCCTGGTTTGCCCCCAAAAAGGGAGAAAAACATTTTTTCTTTAAAAGCGGTTATTTTTAAAGCCTTCTGCTTTCCCTGTTTAATGTGAATGTTAAATCTGAGTCTCCTCGAGCAGCGTAACGCGATATCAGTGTGTCCTCATAGGTCCAGTTCTTAGGTGCTGGGCCCGAACAGCTGTCGCATATAATTACAGAAAGGGGTTAAATCGCATAGATATTTTTGACTTTCTACACACACCCATGATTATCTAAATGTATCACAGCACCCAAATGACCAACAGATTTAAAAGCTGCGTCTGGGCTTCAACTAATAAGACTAAAACTTTGACATCCTAAGAAAATCCTTCACATTATAGAATAGAATAGAAGTACTTTATTGATCCTCGAGGGGAAATTCTACAAGCATTGCTTATTGTCAGGGGGAATTCTGATAATGTTTATAAAAAAACCAAACACAGAGGTTTTTGTTTGATGACTGGAAGAAATGTACATCGAATTGCTTCCAGTGATAAAACATTTCCATCATTGGTGTTTGATTAAAAGTTCACAGAGTCACGTCACATATTGCCGGGAAAACCCAGAAGGTGTTTTTTTTTCCCCTCGACTTTACTACTTTATAATTACATGTTTCCCAAATATCAGTGAAAAGGCCAAAAGTTGCCCGGTAGCAGAGACAATTTCAGCATTGAGCACCTCTGTCAGTCTCACAGAGTCAGAGCTGCCACCCACAGTCTCACACAAGATTAATTATGATAATGCATTTCTTTACCCCTTTGTCATCGTAATGAATGGTTGCCTTTCTGGGGTAAAAACACACAGAACACAGAGAAACACACTTTTCTTTAAGTCTTTGTTTGTGCGGTTGTAACAGAGGTTTTGTCAGACAAAGCTAGCAGGTGGTAATGCAAACTCAGACCTGTAGCTTGAAAAGAAAGCACAGAACTCCGCACACTCTGTGTGTGTGTGTGTGTGTGTGTGTGTGTGTGTGTGTGTGTGAGAGCATCTTTACGTTGGGTAAACAGCTGTATAGCTCCTTTTTTTTAAGCACAATTGTGATCGGTTACAACCAACCTATCAGAAAGGCTCCTATCCAAATACTTACACATAAAGCCATTTTTATGCACATACATAAAAAATGCCGTTTGTAGCGTTCAGGAACTGTTTTCAACTATGTATATCTCTTATATATTGATAGTGCAAAGAAATATGTGACGCAGGAATCCACCAATTGGAAAGATTTCCTGTTTCCACTAAGCTCATTACCAGCAGTGTGAAATCGAGCAGATTAAGGGGATTTTACCAGATAGGTATTGCAGTAAAAACAGAATTGAATGTTGTTTGCAGTTACAGCTGTGGATGTTATAAACATTCTAACTAATAGGATTAAAAGCAAAGGTCGCGCGTGGGTGTAAAGCGTCTTTCGCTTCTCCTTTTCCCGCAAAAGCAGTTTAAGACGTGAACCCAATCAGCCACCCAGTCAATGTTTAGTTAATTAGCTGGGGGCCTCCTCAGTGACAGACAGGGGTATCTGGCTTAGTGTGTGTATGTGTGTGTAAGGCATGTCACAGAGGTTGTTATCCCATACGTTGGATCTGTCTACGCACACACACACACACTCTTTGTTGGATAAGCAACATAAGCAACTGTTGTAGCTCTAAAGCTTGTGGAAAGTGTGTGTGTGTGTATGTATTCAGATGTTTGAGTTAGCGATGGCGTGCTGTTGGTGTGTCTGCGTATGTATGTGTGTGTTTGGTGGGGGGAGCATCTTGAAAGGTAATGTGTGGAGGAAAAAAAAAAAGAGGGAGGAAATTCATTTGTGGCCGGAGAACACAGAAGACAAATTGAGGAAGTGTTGTGCTAATGTGTAGAGGTCAGCAGCAAACACACACACACACACACACACACAGGTTTCTGACTGACTGCCACTTGGGTGGCCTGCTCGCTCGCTCTCTCTCTCTCTCTCTCTGTCTGCCTCTCTCTTGCTCACCCACGATCAGCCCTGAAGCCATGAAGCCACCCAGCTACTCAACCCCCCCCCCCAACCCACAGCCCTGACTCCACCCCACCGCCCTCCTCAGTATCCGAGTGTGTCTGTGTGTCGCACGTTTGTCTCCACCGTCCATCCGATCAAGTCCGACTGCGGCCGGTCGTCTTTATTTTCTTCATCATCCGATCCGTCATTTTTAGACATTGTGTGTCTGTGGAGGATGTTTCCGAAAACATCGGTGATCAACGTGTTCATTTTGGAGTGTTTTCTCCCTTTAGGCTTTCACACGGATGAATCCGTCTAATTCCACACGGTTGTGCAGTCCCACGTGATACATTTGGTATCTTTGGAGCTCTCGGGATCTCCACTGAACAAAATAAATCATCGGTTAGTTTGGGCACAAAGGTCGAGTTAATGAGCTGCTGCTCAAGCTGTTAATGTGCTCGTGGTGTTTGAGTGGAAAAAGTAAAAAAAAAAAATATTTGGGTTGCATATTTCTCTGTTCAACTGCATCAGTTCTTCATTAACGTCTCACTTCATCAACCATAGACGAGGAAGGTCAAATGCTTCTTACACAACTTTATTTGACATTCTTGAGACATACAGACTTTACTTTGGACAGTTTTCAGCGGAGCTTCTTCCCCACTAGAAAGTAGCTTCCAATGAAAAGAATCGGCAGACATTCGTATCCTGAAAAATACATTATTGCATTTTACATCATTAATTAACAGCTTGTGCACCACAAACAAAAGTCAGCTCACCGTCATTGCATTCAGGGGTCAGAGGTCAATGTGAACTTGCTTTTCAATCTAAAGACTGTTGTCCACTTTTGAATGAATCTCGATGCAACAGAAACAGATCTTCAAGCTCCTTTTTTACACAAAATAAGTCAATTATTAATTGATGCGGATATATTGATGCGGATATAAAAGAACATCTTCATTTATTGAAATCCTTGATTTTATCCTCGTTAAAAAGAACTTTTGCGGGCAACTGCGTTGCCCGCAAAACAGGTAACCGATGATAATTTCTTCATGGAAATGTTTTATTTTACAGATATTTTCGTTTTCTCTCTGGTGTTGAAAAGAAATTTGTTTTCGGAATGCATAATTAGATCTTCGTCCCCAAGGCAACACAACCAAAGACTGATATATGATCTGCAGCTCAGCATCTGATCTCCAGATCTGCAGAGCAAACATGCACATTTCTGTACGCATGCGTGCACACACACACGCGTGCACGCATGCATGCATTCACTCAAATGGGTGTGAGACGGCATTGATTAGCTTGTGTGGCAGAGGATTAACAATGGTCACACACAAGTACGCCCGCACACAGTTGTGCACATACACCAGCCAGCACATGTATGCTGAAAGGGGGATCAGCCAAGGTGGCGTTGTATTGAAGGGACTCGGGGGTCTTTGAGTAAATATACAAACCGCTACGCAAACACACACGGCTGCCAGATCTCATCATGTGGTTGAAGAGAAGGGTCAGAGTGTGAGGCCGCTAAAAAGGTTAAAAAAGCCAAGACAAAAGCGCACGAACAACGTGAACCGTGACTGTGTTTTTCACAATCTGAAACTCAAAACTCAGGTGAAACGTGTCGTCTTTCACCTCAGCCGTCATCTGAGAAAAAACTAGTGCACCAGGTTGAAAAACTCACAAAACCACAGGCTTGTTGGGATCCCAATTTGCAATAGAGAGTAACCCATAATGCATTGAGGGGGAATGAGGACTATTTAGACTCAGTGTGAATGAAATGGGAACAATACAACAGGTAAAACAAGGGGAATGGAAGAATGCTGAAAACGTAAGTGTGTCGGTCTGTGAGCTGAGGCCACATTTAGAGTAAGCAGAGCTGTAGTGTAAGACGACATTATTCACCGTCTTCCCAGCCTGGGACTCACAATACATGCGTATACTCACTCCTTGGTTTTCGCTCCAGCATGTGCAGATTACTTGTCGAATCCTGAATTCATCCCACATACTATCATCACTGAGATGAGCTTTCAGAGAAATAATAACACACGCAAATCACTGCCAATCAAACCGAACAAAGGGAAACTAAATATCTCCTTTAAGTCTTTTTGTTTCGTTTTCCATGATGTCTGGATTAGGTGGAGTTCTTCCACCAACACACACAATCTAAATATTTACAGCTCAGAGTTCCTTTCATGTATTTTCCATTGTCGGAAAATACATCCACAGGCCTCAAAAAAATGGATTGATAAATACGTGACCTGATGAATCTCGTTGAAAAATGTTGCTGCCTACGTTTGCATGAATAGAACACAAAAAGCCTTAATTAGCCTAATGACATCATCAGGCTTGTATTCTCTGACTTGAGGAAGACCCCCCAGAGACACAGAAGACATTATATGATGTTTCTACCCGACACTGGTAAGCTGATTGTGATGTGTAAAATCAATAATAATGATCGTTGAAAGTTTCTCTTTCTATAGTATTGGGGGTGAAAACAGAATTTTATGAGAAGGAGTTAGAAAAAAGATTCAAATTTGAATGCATTTAGTAAATAATTCATGCGCTAGATGGAAGCTGGTCATTTGTTAGAAAGAATAATGATGTCCCCCTAACTGACAGGGAGACAAGTCCAACTAACGGCCGCTGCAGATGGACGTGCACGAGCGCGCGCACAACAGAAACCAGACTCAAACACACAAAGCACACGCGCAAACATCTGTGTCATCTTCTTTTTCTTTGTGACCAAAGGAACTTCCAACCTGTAATTTAAGAAATGCCCTGCAGAAGGAATGCAATAAATCTGGGGACAGCAAAGAGAGCAGAGGGCGGAAAGAATAGCAGGAAAGTATCAGGCGTGCGCGTCAGTTTCCTCCTTGGGCTGTGTTTGTGCGTGAGGGCGGGGTGGTGGCGGTGTTAACTGATACAGGATCAAGCTGGGTGGTCCGGGGCCTGCACATACACCATTTTTGTGTACAAATAAACTTAACCCCCACGCCATTGTGGTCACCCCTCCCACGGCTCCCCCCCCACCCCTCCCACCCCCACTGCATCTCTGGTCTTCCCAGCTGCGCACGCTGACACCTATGCGCATTCAAACGTCTCCATCTTCTGCCATTACAGCAGAAAAGCAACATCCTGATCATAACTAATGTGGTAAAACGACTACTCAGTTCCACCTGCAACTTACAGCCAAGGTGCCTCTGTTTAACAAGACCCATCAGTAAAATTACTAAATCATTTGCGATTTTAAGGCTGCATGAAAATAAATCAATTGAAATGAATGAATAAAAGACAGCAAGAATTTGACTCATGGGTTTAAGCACTCATTTTATTTGGACACGATGCAGTAGAACCCTGTAAGAAGCGAGTGAAGGTCCAGCAGCGTCAGTCCGCTGATGAATCAGTTGTCCGCTCCATGTTGCTGCCATCTGATTGGTTAATGAGCGGATGCCACTCTATCCCCGTGAGAGCTAGATCTCCATCAGCTGGTCCGTTCCAACGATGACCTCATTAGTCCTCTCAGCTGAAGAAGAGAGAGACATTTAGAACTAAAAAGGCACCGACGTTGCTTTAAAACCTGCGGTGATTCTTTTTTTCTTCAAAAAACCCTGTTCAACAATTAACAAAAAAAAAAAGGCTGGTAAACTAAGGTTTTGCTGAAGTGACGGCTAATAAGGTGAATGAACGTGTTGAGTAGAAAGGATCCCGTTGTTACCGCAGCCAACATGGGAACATTAAAGACATCTTTTAATGTGGCCAAAATGTGTAATGTAACATTAAACTTCCCCTTGTCATCACCACGTAGCCGACAGTACATCGTGGTAACATTAATGCGAGCGGAAAATGCATTTATACAAATCATTCCCATTTCTTGCGATACCCGTTTTAGTTCATTCTCTTTTTTTCGGCACGAGGAGAGCAGATGCTCCTGCACCTCCAGCTCGGAGCAGCGGTCCTGATCCAAAGCAAACGGTGGCGGAGACTAATGTTCCATCCACACAGACAGGTTTTCAGTGTGAAGGAATTTATGCTCTGCAATGCGGAGGGGAGGACGAATGGGGCGTTGGACAGCAGCCGAGAGAGGAAAGAAGGAAAGTTGCTCTATTCGCGTCTGTCCATTGATCAGTAACCGATCCTGTATAGTGTTTAAATGAATTAGGACCATATAATTACATCATTTCCCCTGCTGGGCCAACGATAATAGACAGCTCCAACTCTGACCTGATTCAACAAATAAAGGAGAGAAATAAGCCAGATGTTGTCTGCACGTATATTCTAACCAAATGCACCGGGCTGTCAGGTGAATGTTTAAATGTAATCAAGATGCACCGTAAGAGAAGAACATAGAGTGTGGTCTTCAAGAGACAAAGAGGAAGGAGAGACAGTCTGTTTTATCGTATGCATGTGTGTGTATTTATCGAAGCACCCAGAGGAAAGTTGTATATCTTTTAAACATCAACACCTGATGGACCTTCATCTTTGTGTGTGTGTGTGTGTGTGTGTGTGTGTGTGAGGCGAACTACCAGGGTGGTCCTTGGCTGCTAACAGCTTCAGCAGTCGAGTGGGTGTGTAATGTCTTTCGCAGCCTGTGGTCAGCAGGCTAGATTAGAACCTAGAGACAAGCCGGTGCTTTCCTACAGTACAAAAGCAACCAGGGGAGCAGGTTTATCATTAGAGCAATGTAATATGAGGATGAAACTAATCCCATCCAAGTCTGATCCATAAATCTGTGGATGATTATATATATATATATAAAAATATGCACGCACACGCACAAATGAAATAGCAGCCGAGTATTATTGTATTCAACATGATGCTGACCATTACGGGTTGTCCGTGATCCAAGACTAAGTTTAGTTAGGTATGTTTTTATTTCCTTCTTACGCTGCTCAGGGTGAAGTAGGGTTTTGATATCCACCTCATGGGTCCTTGTATGTGCCAGAAAGTTAATGTGGCAAATTTCTATAATTATGAAGAAGTCAGTGTTTCCCTCTTCAGGCTCCGGGTCCTTCGTCTGTTGCTCTTTCTGAGGTCCTATTTTTGTTTCCCGTATTGAATTTGAGAATAAGAGACTGCTGTATGCTATACATACAGAAACGCCCTCTGAGGGAAACCTATTCAAATAAACTGGACTTCACATGACTATATACAGCAGATCCCTTTTAAAATGTCTATTGAAGAAACAACAATGCATTTTTATCAAATAATATCAAAGAAAGAGACCATACAGTAAAAATGTGGCAGAGAGAGACGGTCCGTCACAGACACAGAAGCTGGAACTACGTGACTGAGCTTCAGCCAAAAAGTCTACGCAAAACATTTCCAGTGTTCAAGAACATGAAAGCCAGAAGGAAAAGAAAACACGTCCCCAACACATTCGTTTTGATGCTTCTAAAAGAGCCTTTTTTTTTGGGCAAGTTTATCTCAAATTCACACTGTTGTTCCGTAGAGAACCCTGTTGTTCACTCAATTAGGCCTCGTAGCCTGGTAGCTCTCCATGTGTGTGTGTCTGTGTGTTGGATGTGGCTGGAGGCTGTTGAATTCCGGGTGGTCCTGTTCTGGCCCTGCTCTCTAACCCCTCCATCAATGTGACACACACACACACGCATGCACATGCACACACAAGCACACACGCACAGCTAGCTTCGGGGACCAAAAGGATTAAGGAAATAAAAAAATAATGATAAAAAAAAAAGATTCTGACAAATCACACAGAATCAAGAAACCTTCATAGTTGGCTTGAACACTTTGCACAGATGTGCCACACACAAATCCCTCAAAAGTACGTTCAGGTTCCCCGGGTAACGGTTGGGGGGGAAAAAAGGCTCAGCATGTTGAAAGTTGAGGTGTGGAAGGAATGAGCCTCACCTTCTGCTTCGATCTGCTGTCCGTTGCCCACCAGACAGTATTTGAGGTCTGCTCCTCGGCCGATGACAGCGTTACTGCAGATCACGCAGCCGTGGATGTTACACCTGCAAACCACGCACACAGATCACATCGGTCACATGGGTCGCAACAGTGGTTCCCGAACGTTAAGATTACGTCACAAGAGAATACAAGAAGGAATAGAATGAAAGAACATATTTCTGTGACATGCTTACTATGTTTAAGAGGGAAATAAATGACAGTTGCAACACCTGTTCAATAAAAGGTTTGATACAGTGTTGCAGGGTCCCAGAGTAGCGCCTGGCGGTCTGTCTGACGTAAAGTGTACAGCCTAAGCTTCTGTGAGCTGTGTAATTGAGTTTGTAACTTTAAGTGTGTAGGTCTGGTAAGAACAGATGGACTGGATCCGTTACGCTCTGTCTTTGTCAGGGATAAAAGGAGTAATAAAGCTCACTGTCTTGGTTCAGACCACGAAGCCTCTGTGTTGTGTGTGTTTTAAATACGTCCGCTACACAAACCCAGAACGGTCGATGCCTTCATCTCTGGTGGCCAATATCAGAAGAACCGTAGTGAAGCATCGCTCACGGGTGGAGCTGCTCATAACTCCGGTCTACGGTGGCGTGAGAGGTCAAAAGGGGAGACGGGATTTTCCAACTCTTGCTCGCAGCAGATCCAAATGGGTCTGTTTGCTCGCGGGCCGGCCGCTGCCCAGCGCGGCCGCAGCGTTCCAGTTTCGGGAGGTCAAACGTGACAGTCGGAGCGTTCAGACCTCACACCTGCTCCACAGGTCTCCGCGGCTTCCAATCAACGGAAATTAGCACACGTGTAATGACGAACAAAAGCGGCCCATGCTGTGTGCTGTGTGTCTGTGTGTGTGCGTTCGTGGGCTCTGTGCTGCGGTCCCACCTGAGCTGGCAGCGCCAAACCAACCGCGCTCACATTCAGCCAAACCATCACCATAAAGTTGTTGGAGGGGAGACACAGACAGTCCTGTGTGTCCCGCGTCAGCGTAGCATGGAGGGCGTGTACACGTGAGTGTGTGGGTTGGAGAATGTGTGCCTCAGTAGTTCGGGGAGCCCGCTGGAGAACACATGTTGGTCTGGCCCAGGCAGTGACGCACACACCCTTGGCCCTCTGCACCTCACACACACACACACACACACACTTTGTGTTGGCCGATTCTATTCAGGTGGTTAGGCCTGGAAGGAGAGGGAGAAAGGAGAGTGTGGATGTGTGTGTGTGTGTGTGTGTGTGTAAGTGACTACCTAGGAGGTGGTGGTGGTAGTTGGTGATGGGAGATTACAAGATTCAGAGTTTTGTAACATTAGAGAGAGAGAGAGAGAGGGGGGGGGGGGGGAGAGAGACCACCAAAGAAGCTTCAGAGCTGAAACACCACTAATTACTAACACCGGGGCTTCTCCTTTCTCTGTAACCCCGCGCAAATTAACATGCTACTTTGTGCGCCGAGAAGCACCCACACACACAAAAGGTTAAACCCCCCCTTTGGAGCACAC